GTGGAGCCATGCAAGTTCTTTATCTATTTTGGAGATTAAACTCTTGTCTGAGGTATCATTGACAAATATGTTTTCCCATACTTGGTTCTCTTTTTATTTTAATACTGTTTCCTTTAGCCATGCAGAAGCTTTTTATTTTGATGAGATCCCATTTGCTTATTCTTTCCTTTATGTCCCTCGCTCTAGGAGACATATCAGTAAAAATGTTGCTGCATGAAATATTTGAGATTTTCCTACCTATGTTCACCACTAGGACTTTAGTGGTGTCACAGTTTATATTTAAATCTTTTATCCACTTTGCATTTATTTTTGTGTATGGTGTAAGTTGATGCTCAAGTTTCACTGTTTTGTATGTAGCTGTCCAGTTCTCCCAACACCATTTGTTGAAGAGGCTGTTTTTACTCCATTTTATGTTGCTGCCTCCTTTGTCAAATATTAATTGACCATATAAACTTGGGTTTATTTCTGGGCTCTCTGTTCTGTTCCATTGGTCCATGTGCCTGTTCTTATGCCAGTACCAGGCAGTTTTGATTACAGTGGCCTTGTAATACAGTTTAGTATGAGGTATTATGATCCCTCCTACTTTACTCTTCTTTCTCAAAATTGCAGCAGCTCTTCAGGGTAGTTTGTGGTTCCATATAAATTTTTGAGGTGTTTGTTCCACATCTGTGAAATATGCCATTGGTACTTTAATAGGTATTGCATTGAATGTGTAAATTGCTTTGGGTAGTATGGACATTTTGCTGATGTTAATCCTTCCAATCCATGACCAAGGTACATGCTTCCATTTATTTGTGTCGTCCTTGATTTCTTTCTTCAGTTTTGTATAGTTTTCTGAATACAGGTCTTTTACATCTTTGGTTAGGTTTATTCCTAGGTATTTTATTTTTCTTGTTGCTATATCAAGTAGAATTTTTTTTTCTTGATTTCTGCTTCTGCTGTTTCATTGCTGGTGTACAGAAATGTCTTTGATTCTGGATATTGACTTTGTACCCTGCTGTTTTGCCACATTCATTTATTAGGTCAAGCAGTTTTCTGGCTGAGTTTATAGGATTTTCTATGTACACTATCATGTGATTTGCAAACAATGACAGTTTTGTTTCCTCCTTTCTGATTTGGATGCCTTTTATTTCCTTTTCTTGTCTGATCACTGTGGCTAAAATTTCCAATATTATATTGAATAGAAGTTATGAAAGTGGGCAACCTTGTCTTTTTCCTGATCTGAGTGGAAAAGATTTTAGTTTTTGCCCATTGAATATGATGGTGGCTTTATGTCTCTCATATATGGCATTTGTTATGTCGAGGAATGCTCCCTCTATTCCCACTTTGCTGAGTGTCTTTATCATAAATGGGTGCTCTGCCTTATCAAATGCTTTTTCTGCATCTGTTGATATCATCATGTGATTTTTTCTTTGCTTTTGTTTATGTGATGTATTACATTGACTGATATGCAAATATTGTACCATCCTTGCATCCCTGGGATGAATCCCACTTGGTCATGGTGTATTATCTTTTTAAAGCATTGTTGGATGTGGTTTGTCAATATTTTGTTGAGAATTTTAGCATCTATGTTCATCAGTGATATTGGCCTGAAGTTTCCTTTCTTTGTTGTGTCTTTTTCTGGTTTTGGGATTATGATGATGCTAGCTTCATGAAAAGAGTTTGGAAATCTTTCATCATTTTGTTTTGTTTTTTTGGAATAGTCTGTGAAAGATAGGGTTTAGCCCTCCTTAAATGCTTTGTAGAATTCTGTGAAACCATTTGGTCCAGGGCTTTTGTGTGTTGGGAGTTTTTTGATTACTGCTTCAATTTTGTCTGCTGTTGTTGGTCTGTTCAGGCCTTCTTCTTCTTCATTCAGTTTTGGAAGATTATATTTTTCAAGAAATTTGTCCATTTCACCTAAGTTTTCAAATTTCTTGGCACACAGCTCTTCACAGTAATTTTTTACCATCCTTTGTATTTCTGTGGTTTTAGTTGTAATCTCTCCTCTTTCATTTCTGATTGTGTTTATTTGGGTTTTCTCTCTTTTTTTTCTTGATGAGTCTGCCTAAAGGCTTGTCAATTTTGTTTATCTTTTAAGAAAAACAGCTCCTGGATTCATTGATCCTTAGAATTGTGCTGTTTTAGTCTCTATGTCATTTAATTCTGCTCTGCTCTTGGTTATTTCCTTCCTTCTACTTGATCTGGGCTGTCTTTGTTCTTGTTCCTCGAGTTCTTGTAGACGTAGGGTTAGGTAGTTTGTTTGAAATGCTTCTATCTTTTTTAGGTAAGCCTGTATTGCTATGAACTTTCCTGTCTGGACTGCCTTCACTGTGTCCCATAGTTTTAGGTTATTGTGAGTTTATTTTCATTTGTTTCCAGAAACTTTTTGATTTCTTCCCTAATCTCATGCTATTCAATCTCCATGATTTTGAGTGTTTTGGGTTTTTTTTTTCTTTGAGGTTGGTTTCTAGTTTCAAGTCATGTGTGTCTGAGAAGATGCTTGGTATCATTTCAATTTTCTTGAATTTGTTGAGGCTTAATTTGTGTCCTATCATGTGGTCTATCTTTGAAAATGTTCCATGTACATTGTGTATTTAAAAAAGAATGCATATTTAGCTTCTTTGGGATGAAGGGCTCTATATATATATCAGTGAAGTCCATTTCATCTAGGGCATTGTTCAATGCCACAATATCTTTGTTGATATTTTGTTTACAAGATCTGTCCATTTTTGATAGTGTGGTGTTAAAATCCCCTACTATAATTGTATTGCTGTCAATATCTTTCTTGAAGCCCTCTAAGATTTTCTTTATGTATTTGGGTGTAGGAACACCCACTGTGTTGGTGTGCTATATATTTACAATGTTTATGTCTTGGTGGATGCCTATATATTTTACAATGTTTATGTTTTGGTGGATTCTTCCCTTGAACATTATGAAGTGACCTTCTGGATCTCTCTTTGCGGGCTTTTTTTTGAAGTCTGTTTTGTGTGATATGAGCATTGCTATATGCTCTCGGCTTTTCTTTTCTGTCCATTTGCTTGGAAAATTTGTTTCCATCCCTTCACTTTCAGTCTGTGTAGATCTTTTGTCCTGAGGTGGGGCTCTTGTAAACAGCATATGTGTAGGTCATACTTTCTTATCCATTCAGCTATTCTATGTCTTTTGATTGTAGCATTTAATCAATTTATGTTTAAGGTTATTATTGATAGGTACTTATTCATTCCCACTTTCACACCGGTGTACCCCTCTCTCTCTTTCTCTCTAGTTTCCTTCTTTTCCTTAAAGCAGTCCCTTTAGCATGTCTTGCAGACCTGGTATGGTTGATGTGCATTCTTTTAGACTTATTTTTCCTGGGAAGCTTCTTATTTGGCCTTCTATCTTGATTGAGAGCCTGGCTGGATAATGTAGCCTTGGTTGTAGACCTCTGATTCTCATTACTTGGAATATTTCTTGCCATTCTCTTCTGGCTTGGAGCATTTCCATTAAGAAGTCAGCTGTTAGCCTTATCTGGGCTCTCTTGTATGTTACTTCCTATTTCTCCCTTGCTGCCTTTAAGATTCTCTCTTTGTCTTGAAATTTTGCCATTTTAATTATTTTGTGTCTTGAGGTGGGCCTCTTTGGGTTCCTCTTGATTGGGACTCTCTGTGTTTCCTGGACTTGTGTGACTTTTTCTCTCAACAAATTAGGGAAGTTTTCCATCATTACTTTTTCAAATAAGTTTTCTATCCCTTGCTCTTCTTCTTCTCCTTCTGGTATCCCTATTATACGGATATTATTACATTTCATATTGTCTTGCATTTCTCTTAATTCCTCTTCATTCTTTCTGAGCCTCTTTTCCTTTTTTGGCTCTTTCTTGGTGTTTTTTTCTACTTTTTCTCCCAGCTTACTCATCCGATCTTGTGCTTCACCAATCCTGCTTTTGATTACTTCTAATGCGTTCTTCAGTTCAGAAATTGTATTCTTCATTTCCTCTTGGTACTTGTTGAGAGTTTCTATTTCCTTTTTCATGTTGATATAGTTTGCAGTGAGTTCATTGTAGTTTCCCTGTAGTTTCTGGTAATTCGCTGTGAGCTCAGTGAGCTTCCTGATAACCATTGCTTTGAACTCAATATCTGATAGTTCAGTTGCCTCTATTTCATGTAGCATTATTTCTGAGGCTTCTTCCTTTCCCTTCATTTGGAGATTGTTTCTTTTTCTTCCCATTGTTTGTGAGACTCTTCTTGTTAGCCTCAGCTTCTTAAATTGATCTGTTTTGGCACCTGGGGTATGATGTGAGCTTCTGTGGTAGAATACCTGTGAGATTCAGTGGTGCAGTCTCCTTTGTGTATCCTGGTGTTCACAGCTTTCACCTACTCTTTTTTGTGATCTGTTCGAGGGGGAAGGCAAAATGGTTTAAGACAGCAAGAGAGTATTTTATGATATTTACAGTAGCAGTTAGTAGAGAAGAGATAGGAGATCCTTTGGCTATGTATAGTGTTAACTGTGATACCACTCAACTAGTCACTTTTTAGAAAGGATGGAAAGAAGATGAGACTCTTGTTGGGAAGGGAAGGCTTGTGAATTGGATCTAGAAAGTAGTGAGGTTGTGGGAGGTCAAATTCTGAGGTAAAATGAGAGTAATTGCACCAGTAATTACTGGTGCAATGCTCCAGTAATCTCAGATGTGCAATGCACGCCTGTTTTGTTTCTTTATTCAGCTAAGCTTACTGAAGGTAAGCAGTGGGTACTATACTTCTTTTATATACTAAATGCACCCAACACAATGGATAACTATATTGATTAATTCAGGAATAAAGCAACAGAAGTAGCTTGCTCTTTCTTTTCTTTCTTTCTCTTTCTTTCTTTCTTTCTTTCTTTCTTTCTTTCTCCTTCCTTCCTTCCTTCCTTCCTTTCTTCTTTCTTTCTTTTCTTTTCTTTTCTTTTTTTTCTTCATGTCAAAGGATGAACAGCCAGAGGGGTAAGGTTAGAGCAACAGGAGAAAAGCTCAATGTTCAATAAGATGCCACAAAGCTGTCTCTCTTTGTGCCATTGAGAGATAGCTGCTGCTGGTACAGTTCCAGACCAAGGATTCAATCAAGGGTTTTCTTTCAGGACCAGACACCAAATCCTGGCCCTATTGTGTGGGTAGGACATGTGAAAGTGCTAGACTAGCAACTTTTTGATCAATTGTCTTGATTAATAGTCATAAAAACCAAAACAAATAAAAAACTTCTACTTTCTTGGCCATCTATGTTTTTTCTTAAAAAATATAACTCTATTTTATAAAAGAATACTATTTTATTAACTATTACTTATTTAATAATTGTTTTTCTCTTCTCTCTCCTGTTTCATTGCCATTTAAAAGAATACGGCATTCTGTCTCTAGTACAACTTTTGCCCACTCTTAAATTTGTGCTATTTAAGGCAGATATCCTTCAGCTTACTTTCAATAGTCACAACTACATTCTTGTTCATGACATGCACTCTAAGTAACTCATAATTCAGTGCTGACCAAAGTTCAGTATAATTGAAAAAGAACTGATATCTATTGGTATTCCTTGCACTCAGAGCTAGAATTGACATTTTGTTATATATAGTGACATTGTCTCTCTTTTGGAGAAGAAAAGTGTTTTCCCTACACATAGGCAACAGGCACCTGACCTGTTGGATCAAGTTACATTAGGTTATCTTGTGTTATATGATGTGACATGCCTTGAAGTGACCTGAGGCAATGTCGTTCTGTGTTACAGTGGTGGAGCCATGCTACTCTTTATTAAACAACCACAGGAAGGCTTATCTGCAGTGGTCACAAATTATTTCCATGCCACCTTTGCAAAGAAAGGGAGAAAAAGCCCTGCTATGAATTTTTCTACTAGGCATCATTTAAAGAAATTAAAAAGCACAAAAATTACAGGAGCCACACAGGTTTCCATTATTTTTTAAGTGGAATTTAAATTCTCAGGTACACAAGAAAGACATGCATTCATGTGACAAGGATCAAACATCCTCATGAAACAAACTGTATTCTGAATTAAAAATTAGAAATACTTCTGGTATTCTTATAATAATCAATTATATTTACATGAGTTTACTTAATTTTGGGGTAAAGCCTCTTATAATAACTCTTTTTGATGGTTAAAAGTTGTCTCTTAAAATTGTATGTCATGTAATTTAGAATCCTCAATCAAAATGTATGATAAAATTATGTATTAAATGTTACCCTTGGTATGATTTTTATCAAGACGTTGGCTCTAGAAACTATCTTAAATTATTATATTATGTACTATTATGTAAAAGAAATGTGCTTGGTCATTTTCATCTAATGATTTCAACAGTATTTTCCTACTGGTGTATCTTACATACAAATTCAGTTTTAATTATCTGCATGAAGACGACTAATATTGTATAGGTACATCTAGCTAGTGATTTTAGAGTAATTAGTGGTGCATGGAACAGAATATAACCTTTTGCCTCAAAAGAAATAGGTTAGAGGGTTTTTTATGCAAATTAAAAGTGTTCTGTGTTGGAAGCCTAATTGTACTTTTTATTGTTAGACAAGTCAATACTGCTTTAATACACATTTTACAAGCTTTTTGCTGAAACTGTATATGAAAGAGATTGGTTTCCATAGATGAAAGGCATAATCTTAACAATGAAGCCACATAAGCAGAATGGTTGAAGTACTGATAAAGGATTTGTTAACTCCAACATAGAATAAGTCTTATTAGCATTATTAGTCATCATTGTTTGACCCACTACTAAAAACTTATGTGAGTCACATGCATGGCAAACAGAGGTGGATAGCACTGTGTTTGGAAATTTTTTTATTGTTGTTCAAGTATAATTGTCTCCATTTTCACCCCTACAATAAGTGTAATCTAATATGAAGAACATTTCAACAGCAAAGAATTAAGAACCATATCTTGTCCTTTGATTTTCTACTTATTCAAAGGGAATTACTTGGATATTGGAGATCTTTGTTTTTAAATAAATCTTACCTTTTGTGACAACATGGATGCACTGGAGAGGATTATGCTAAGTAAAGTAAGCCAGTTATAGAAAAAAAAATACCATATGATTTCACTCATATGTGGAATCTAATGAACAAAATATATAAAATAAAAACAGGCAGACTGACAGTTGCCAGAGGGGAGTGTTAGGGAGCTAGGTGAAAAAGGTGAAGGGATTAAGCAAAAAAAAATCATAGACAGACAACAGTATGGTGGTTACCAGTGGGAAAGATGAGAGAGAGGAAGTGAAAGAGGGTAAAGGAGACATGAATGGTTATGGAAGGAGGCTTGACTTTGGGTGGTAAACACACAATACAATATTTAGATAATGTATTAGAGAATTGTACACTTGAAACTTATATAATTCTATTAATCAATATCACTCAAATAAATTCAATAAAATATTAAAAATAAAAATTCAATAAATAAAACATTTGATATTTAGGTGTAGAAGTTCAAAAATATCAAATGTAATGCTCAATTTCTTTTTGTAATGAACAGAACTTATTTGTAAGGAGAAACTCAAAAATAAGGAATTATTAGTTACAACATCATAGATATTTAAGTTAATAAAAGAACATTAAACAGAAGTTCTAGTAAAACTAAATCATATGCATTTATTGTTGTGTAATTTTTATTTACAATTGACCATGATTAGCTTTGACTTAACAGTGTAATAGATTAACAATGATTGCTATAAAAACTAATATTACTAGGAAGAAAATACTTGAAATCATAAAGTTATGAATGTAAAAAGGAAAAAAACAAGCTCAACACTTTAATTTGTACAATACGATGCAGCAGTGTCAGGGTGGATAAAGTAGTGCCTCAACCCCTACCTATTTTTAAGACCTGCTTTTCCAAACCTCTTGATGATTTTTTTTTTTGCCACATGTATTTACAATAAATTTATTGACTGCTTAGGTTAATAATTCCTGCTGTTTTCAATTAAGAATCCTGATAAGCTACATATTTCTTAGTTTGCATCAAGAACAAATATTTATGATATATATACCAATAATATTATCTGAATTAAAGTTTACATGAAATCAAACAAACAGAAAACCATATACCAGAATAAAGCCTTAATGATCTATTGTCAGGTCATTAGGAAAAACAACATTCATTTATTAGCTTATTCATGAAATACTTGTTAATACCTATGATATTTTAAGAACTCTCTGAGCAACTGGAAGTATGAAATAAGTTGGAAAGATGTGTCAAATTCTAGATATGTTTTGCAAATAGAATAAACAGAACTTGTTGGATAATTTTATGTGAATATAAGATTATGTAAGGCATCAATAATTTGTTTTAGCAATTAAAGTTTTTGACTTACATAAGAAAATGTTATGGAATGTGGAAACCAAGAGTTTGACTTTAAATTTGGTATGATGCCAATTAGATATTTAAGTGGAAATGTTCACGAGAAAGTTGAATGTTTAAATACCTGTATTGGCATGCAAGAACTTGTGACAGAGAGAATAATGTTTCCCCAATATGTCCACGTCCTACTACCCTGAAACCTGTGAATATATTAGTTTACATAGCAAAATGGGACAAGATTGCTAATCAGCTGACCATAAAATAAATAGATTATCCTGGATTACCAGTAATTACTCCCCCAGTAATTACAAATGTCTGCAAGTGTAAAATTGGGCGGCAAAAGAGTCATTGTCAGACTTATATAATTGCTGTCTCTGAAGACGAAGGGAGGGGCAGAACCAAGGAAGGCAGTGGAAGTCTAAAAGCTAAAACAAAGACAAGGAAAAGACTTTCCTTAGAGTCCCCAGAAAAAAAATGTAGACTGTTAACACCTTGCTTTTAGCCCAGTGAAACTTAACTTCTGTCCTGCAGAATTCTAAGATAATTTTGTGTAGTTTTTCTTCCTGAAGATTAGAGTAGAAGGATCAAGTCTCCATGCAACTATTCCAAAGAAAACAAAAGACTCTTACAAATAATTGGGTGTTTCAACACTAAACTCAAAATGGATTAAAATTTCAAATATCAGACTTGAAACCATAAATATCCTAGAAGAATACATAGGCAGTAACATCTCAGACATTTCTCAGAGCATTATTTTTCTGATATATATCCTTGGGCAAGGGAAACAAAAGAAAAGTAAACAAATAGCAATACATCAAACTAAAAAGTGTTTGCACAGCAAAAGATATGTCAACAAATAAAAAAAAATGACCCAATGAATGAAAGAACATGCAAGGGAGTCCCCCCAAATAACATTATCTTCTGGAGGTTGGGGCTCTTATAATACAGGCTTACCCTACTAGGAACCCATCTGTATCTGTGTACCAGCTGGTGTTGTTTTGAGAGCCTGTGTTCTGCTTCAGTGAATTTTTCATGAAGACCCTTTCAACATGTTTGCCATTTCACAATGGAGCACACCTGCCCACACCATGCTGAGTGTTCAGCAGTTATTGACCAAAAAAGACATGACCGCTGTACCCATGCTCCCTATTAACCTGATCTTGTCACAAATGACTTTTTTTTTTTAATTTCGCCAGATACAAAAAGTCCTCAAGGGGAAACATGAGTAGATGTAGAAGAGGTGAAACAGAAAATGGCTGAAGCACTAACAGGTATCAAAAATGATGACTTCAAAAACTGTTTTCAAAAGTGGAAAAACATCTGAGTAGGCGTATTGCATTAAATGGAGAGTGCTTTAAGGAGACTGAAGTTTAAATATGTAAGAATAAATACGTGTTTTTTTAATAAATAAATTCCAGGTTTTTCTGGGTCTCTCCTCATATTCACAAATCTGATAAGGGGTTAATATCCAAACTGTATAAAGAACTTATAAAACTCAACACTTAAAAAAAAGTAAATATCCAATTAAAAACTGTTGACAAAGGACCTGAATAGGCACTTCACTAAAGAAGACATACAGATGGCCAACAGATATATGAAAAGATTCTCAATATCAATAATCATCAGAGAAATGCAAGTTAAAGCCACAATGAGATATCACCTCATACCTGTCAGCATGACTAACATGAATAGGTCAACAAGCAATAAGCGCTGGCCCTGTGTGGAGCAAAGGTAACCCTTGTGGAGTTTTGGTGGGAATGCAGACTGGTGCAGCTGATAAAGAGATCTGATCAGGTCACTAATGGGGAGTCGGGACGGGTGATAGGAACAG